CCAAGGTTGCTGCAATCATGCCCTGTGGAAGCAACCCAGGTGAATTCAACGAGGAATTGTGGCTCATTTCCAAGGTAATTAGTTTAATTTAGTATCAGATAGTGAAAGTTTCGGCTGGCATTTAGTACTACGATTTACTGGTGTTTCTTGCAAGCGGAGGTCTTGGTTTGGATAGCGAGTGCGATACTAATTTAGTATGGCTGACTCGTGTATAAAAAAAATACTGAAAGTTTCATGCTTTTACTGAAATGTGTACAATGTATATGTGTATTATGTCAGGATCATCGTTCAATGGCGAGGTTTATTGGGTATGCGCTGTGTGCTGCTGTAGAAGCACTTAAGGATGCTAGTTGGATCCCCACCGAGCCTGAAGAAAGGGTAAGAACGGTAATTTCAAATTTTAAGTCGGTAATTAAGTTGATTGAAAATGTGGGTTTATGTTAATTTGATGGATGGCAGGGAGTCCCAGTTGGTGGGGAAACTGGAAGTAACAGTCATATATTAGACGCTGCGCAAATGATTTGTGAGAAGGTTGGTTTTTTGCTTTACATTTCCGGTTGTTAAAATATCTATGCAATGACATGGGAAATGGTAGAAAGAACAAAACTTGATATGTGCTGTTTCTATTTGTCTAATCAGCGTATTCGTCGGCTTAGTCCTTTCTTCATTCCTCAGATACTAATCAACATGGCATCTGGTCATATCAGCATGAAATATGGATTCCAGGTGTGTGAACAACTTTCTGAGACACATTCTGTATGTTACAAGTGTTACGTGGACAAAGGTTGGTCATTTATTCAAATTCTGATGTATTTATGCAAAGACCATCATGGACGGAGATGTAGGTCATTAGCTATCATGTTGGTCTTTTTTCAGGTTTGAAGTTGGCACCGAACCATTAACCATTGAACCAATCGAGTCATTAGTTGACAAGAGTGCCAAAAACAAGATGGACTGCAATAGCTCTCATTAAGCCATGAATCATGTTCTTCCCTTTTTTAATTTTCATACCGAAAAGTCTCTCCTCTGTTTGAAGGTCATGTGTACGTATTCTCATGTAGTAAAACATACATTTGGTGTTGTTTTTAAACATAGGTACCAAATCATGCTGCAGTAACAGCTTGTGCTACTGGAGCACATTCTTTGGGTGAGTCCACAAGGATGATTCAGTTTGGAGATTCAGATGTTATGGTGGCTGGAGGTACATAGTCTAGCATTGATGCTTTATCATTAGCAGGATGTAGTTCCACTGCTATATAAATTTTATAAGCCTTTTTTGTGTCTTAGCCATGTACCTCACAAGTGCACAATGCTTTAATACTGAATTTCCAGCCTGCATTGGTTGAAATGTACTTGGCTCTGCTCACAAAACTAGCTTCACTTTTAAGGGCGTTATACTTTGTTGCTATTGTTATCTTGTTTAAAGGATTTTTCTTTTTGATTTCCAGGTCAAGGGCAATGACTACTAAGAGACCATTTTAGAATATTCCAAACATAAGAGTATGTGGGTTTATGGGCCTACGTTTTCTATTTCTCTCAAGGAAAAATAACCCTAATCTCCAATTGCTTGGAATTCAAGGTTCCTACCGCTTTACTGTAACAGTACTTGTAAACAAGAGCTCCGGTTCTTTTGGTCGGCAACTTGGCACTCAAATCCTGTCATGTCCACCGAGAGAAAAGCTCAAGGCAACATCTCAGAGAACCCATATACAAATACAAGTTTGAACATCCAAAAGCAAGACGAAATGATGGGAAATAATGATGATGAAAGCACCAAGGATGTGGAAGCAATACGGAGGCTTGAATTACCAGACCTTGCTATATAACCATCAAATCCTCTGATTCATTCCCACTAAATCTGTCGTCCGCATGAGTTTTCATTCCAAGCAATGGGAAAGTGTGTGGTCTTCAGTCCCTATATTAGATTTCAATGAGGGAGACATTGATCATACACTCGACAATCAGCCAAGAAAGTTCATCAAGATTTGGGAAAGGTATGCGGATCAATTCCATGAGAACGACGAGCAGCTCTTAGACAAATTCATGCTTCGCATGAGGTACTTTGTTGACGACGCTACTCTGGTCGATAAATGGTTGAATTTTGCGATTGTGAGAGGCATCAAAGAGTTGGATATCAGCCTCCCAAAGAAAAATGCAGAGGACAGAACAAATGGCTACTTGTTATCCCTGCGGACTGTTAGTGCTGCAAAATATCTAACTAGTTTAAATTTGGAGCATGTGGGAATACAAGGTTTCTCTGGTTTTGTACCTTGTTCTTCCTTGAAAAGATTGTCCCTAAAAAATGTGGATTTGGAAAACTTTGATCTCATCGACATGTTTAAGTTATGCCTTCCCATCGAGCATTTGTCATTAATGTCATGTGTTATGAGGAGCATGGTCTTTCTTTTTCCAGAATCCAGCCTCAAATACTTGGAAATTATGCATTGCTCGGTGCGAGGTTGATTGTAGTTCGTGCTATGTATCTCAAATCTTTGAAATTTGTTTCAGGTTCAGATCAAAGCTGGAGAATGAGATTATATCAGCCACTTTACAGTTTATGTATTTATGCATCTAATATTCCACGTTCTGCAGTTGATTCCTTACTAACAATTTCCTTTTTAACTCTGTGTTGTGTGAACGGTGTAGTCCTTCATATTTCCAGAAAGTTTCAGAAAGACCTCCTCTCCACCATTGCGTAATCTCAAACATAACGTCACTGCCAACATGCCTCCGGCAACTGAGGCAGAAGATTCCGAGTTGAGGGACTCCTTGCTTTGGATAGCACCTTCTGCATATTACCACAAATTGAACACTGGACATGATGAAATGGAGGACCGATGATTTTTAGTTGTTTTCACTTTCAAAGTTTAGGGTTTCATACTATCTTCTTCATTTTTTCGAAGTTTAGACTTTCCGTTAATCTCTAGCACAAAAGAAATTAAAATTTTTGTCTTCTTCATGTGAATGGTTTCGTTGAAGATAGTTCTTATTTACTTCAGTATGAACTATTTCATGCAGTAATTAATGGATACGTAAACTGTTTTCCCGCAATGAATAAAATTAAAGGGGTTGAAGAACATTAACCATGTAGCAACTAGCAAGCAGTTTTCTCTAACAAAAGCATGTACACCGGTGTTGTTACAAACGTAGAACAAGTTATATGTTACAATTTCTCACATTCAACGAGCGGAAGGGTTCTTCTTCCCTCTGATCTTTACATATGAACATTGAACTGCGCTATACAAAAAGGAACGCTGAGGCTTTAAATCCTCGTGAGGAAAGTCCCAAGTCACGAATGATGTATGCGTTTAGACAAAGCTGTGCAGAAGCCAATTAAGACTGTGATTGCGATGCCGCATATATTACGTCGCCGCAGACCATGATTCTTGAACTCGAGCGGACTAGTTCAGCGTTTTGAAGGGTGAAGCCGTGAATGATTGGTAAAGGGAATTCCTTGAGAAAACCGAGACACTTTGGGGAGATGACGACGGATGCGAAGGCTTGGTCGGCAGCTTGGACTTGCAGGTGGGTCGGCGGTGAAAGGAAGAAGGAAGCTATGAGGAGGAAGAGAACAGTTGCTGGCGCCATTGAAGTGTCTGGAGAAGAGAAGACAAAGAGGACTGATTCCTTTTTTTTTTGTCTTGGTTTTGGCTTTGGCTCAAGGACAAACATGCAAAAAGCGCAAAGATTTAACAAACTAGACAAAACTCTTGGCATATGAAATGTCCAAAACACCCCCACATGTTTTGGCTTTGTTCGGTGGGTGAGCTTTTTGGTAGAATAAAAGTTTAGAGAGTTTCACAAGGCATACCCACCATCTCAAGTCAAAAGAACTTACGTGTAACACTTAATTACAAGTTGTTATCAGTACGAATTTACGTAAGAATTTATAGATTGCACCAATAAAAATTTTACAGCGAAACTCAAACTTTATTGAGATTACACACAAGACAAAGACCTAACCAATTTGAGCCAACCGTTGTTAGACCATCTTCAAACGAGGGCTGGCCAAATGGTTTGTTTTAGTCCTCTGGTCCTCAAAGAAATTAATATTTTAATAAATAGTACATGACCCTATTTACCTCCATCTCAAATCGAGGGCCAAAGGGCCATATGGCTCATTTTAGCCCTGTCAGAAAAAACTATCTCCAACCGAGGGCCAAATTTTGTAAAATAGAAGTTATAAGAAAAAAAATGGAATTTAAAAAAAATATGAATTTTGTGGGAAAAAAAAGGTTTAAATTCATTAATTTTTTTTTTAATACAACGGGTAGTCAGTTAGTCATTGGATTCAAATTTTTGTTTAAGCATTCTTATCGGTTATAACGGATAGGAATATATTTATATTAAATAATGAATTCATTCCTGTCGGTTATATCCGACAGGATTGGTGATATTTCTGGCCAGCCCTGGGCTGCAGCCAACCCTTTGGCTCTTTGGCCCTTTCAGATTCCGTGGGGCCCATGAGCCCTCTGGCCTAGTTCTCGGTTGAAGTTGATTTTTGGGCTATTTTTGGTCTTGTGATTCTCTGGACTCTTCGGTTGGAGATGACTTTAGCTTTTGGTGGTGAGCTTTAGGGCTGGTTTGGTATTGCTGTGCTTTGAAAAAAAGCTGCTTCTGCTGTGCTGTGAGAATAAGCAGCTGTGAAATAAAGCAGCAGAGTGTTTGGTAAACTTTTTTGTAAAAGTGCTTTTGAAAAAAAAAAGCAGTATAAGAGTGTTTGGTAAACTTTTATGTAAAACAGATGTGAAAAAAAGCCAGTTTTTCAAAGCTAGGTTTTGCAGCTTCTTGTTTTTGGCTTTTTTTCATCCAAAACTGTGAAAAAAAGCTGAAGCTGAGTGTTTACCAAACACAAAAACAGCTCCCAGCTTTTTTTGATAGCAGTTTTTTTCAGAATCACCTCAGTACCAAACCAGGTCTTAAAGGAGGGAGAGTAAGTTGGGAAAGAAGTAGAGGGACTAAAGTGGAATTTCACCTCCACTGCTACGAATAACACCACGCATTTGGCACAACTTTTAACTTGCCGTTAAATTAAAAATTGGATCTTTTCCTCTTGTGGGGGGAAGAAGAAGAAACAAGAAAAGGAGGCCAAAGCAGCCGAAGATGGCGTTGCAGACGGGGGTTTCCGGCTCCAAGGTTCTCATCCTCGTCGGAGCAGGTCAGGATTATTGAATTTTGTTCCTATTTTACCCTTTTTCACATTGTTTTCTTTCCAGTTTGATCTAAATTCTAGAAATTTGATTGATCAGAAACAAAATTCTGAAACTTTGAAGGATATAACCTTATTGAAACTGAAATTGCACAGATAGCAAGTAAATTTGGGTACAAATAGCAATTAGTTGGTGAACTGAGTGATAAGTAGTGCAGACTGTCTTTTGGCTGCTATGGCTGCTGGACAGAGATTCAGGGTTTAACCTATTTTTCGATCTTCTGGGTGTGTAGATGTTTGTTTGTTTATTTTTTCTATAAACTGTTGTAATCTAATGGGATTGGGATTCGAACTTGGTGCACGGGGGCGGGCACGCTTCCTTACCCAACTGGCCTAACTTCGCGTCTGCTTTTCTTGGGGTGTAGATTACTTAGTGGATTCTTGTTCCTTTCATAAGTAATAATCCTAGTGCTTCAAAAGTATAATTCCTTTCTATTTTAATGAGAATTTTTAGTAGGAAAGGACGGAAAAACAGAATATAACACAGAACGGTTTACAAAACACAGTTTGTATATAGGTCTTTGTACCTTTCCATCTATTACTATTTTCCTCTAACTAGTATATATTTTGCGATTCAGGCTTGACCAGTTCGATAGTTTTGAGGAGCGGGCGATTGTCTGAACTTATTGCACAGCTTCAGGATATACTGAAGGGTGTAAATGAAGCTGATATCTTGCCTGAGAAGTTTGATAGTGCAATTATCAGATCTCAGGTATTGCAGCTTGAATTCAATTAGGTTTTTATACTTAAAACAGATTCAAAGTTTGCCAGAGATACCGTGCATCATCTCAGATACTGATGTTTTGTCATGGTCAAACGGTGACAAATGCTACAAGTTTCATTAGTTTTGGTTTGAATAGTATTAATATGTGATGGCTCGATCAATGTTGTCATCTACTTAAAGTCTTAAACCAAAAATTATATTGAAACTTTGTTTATCTTTCTTTTTGAACTCTAGAAGTTGAGCGTGAAGATGCCTTGCTATAATACCGGAACTGTTATGATTTTGCCCTCTTTTTTCAACTGTTTAGTCCATAAATCTGGTTGTATTATGCTCGTAGATACATAATTTCTTTGCAGGGTTTGTATAAGTTAATACTTACATGTGTTTTTACCTTCAGATTCAACAATTGGCTCGAGAAATCAGGGAGTTAACCTCATCTGGCCCTGTAACCATCTACAATGAGAATTCTTCCTCTAGTGGTATAAACAGTTCTTCAGAGGCTTTATAACGGTTTTGTGATTTTCATAGATTAGAGTTTCTATGAATTGTTCAGAAACCACTTTGCACATTTATTCTCTGCCTGGGAATGATCGGGACTTTATATCAATAGAGATGTTCACATATTTCATGTCACAGCAGGGAGTTATGCTTCATATTTAGTTCCAGCTGCTGCAATTGGTGCAATGGGCTATTGTTACATGTGGTGGAAGGTACCTCTCCAAAAATTTGTCGTGGCGTTCACAAACACATTGTATTTAGTTCTGCACTTGTAAGGATTTGTATCATTGCTGATCTACGGGTATGTCTGTGATATCGTACAGGGCTGGTCATTTTCTGATGTAATGTTTGTAACAAGGCATAATATGGCAAATGCTGTTGCAACCGTGTCCAAACAATTAGAGAATGTGCATGAAACATTGGCGGTAAGTCTGATGTGTTGGCAATGGTGTGGTTGGCTTTTCCAGATGGTAATCCTCAAAAGGGTCTGCAGCACGCTGACGTCTTGACTGTCGTTTTGCAGAGTACAAAAAGGCACCTGTCGAAGAAGCTGGAAAACTTGGATTGGAAGGTGGAGGAGCAGAAGGAAATAACTCAGCTTATCGCAAATGATGTATGAAACATTATATTTACGCACTTTCTTTTCAATGATGTATTTACATACTCTGATGTAAATAACTCACTATGATCCTATCTATTTTCCATTTCATTTGAATGCAGGTGAATGAGGTGAAAACAAACCTTTCTCAAATTGGGTTTGATGTAGAAATGATTCATCAGATGGTGTCTGGGTTGGTGAGTTGATATATTTTCTTTAATATGTTCTTTTATGTTACTCAGAAATGCTTTAAGCTTATCGGAGTACTTATGTTGTATTTGTTAATTGGCTCAACAGGAAGAGAAGGTCGACCTTATTGAGGGCAAACAGGTTATATTTCTGGTTATGCTACGACTTTGGAAATCTTCTGCATTTTTCTATTTTCTTTTCGTCTTTGTAGTCATTGATTTGACCCTTTTGTTTTCAATACAGGATGCAACCAACTCAGGTCTATTGTATCTATGCCAAGTAGCAGATGGCGTCAAAGGTCAGCTGGATACTAAACCCGTACAGGTCAGAATATTTTCTTTTTGTTCTTTAGAAAACTGATTACTAAATGAGCTAAGGGATATATCTAGTTAATCGATGAAATTTGCTTACTGCACGTCAACATTGTCGAGGACCCATCGTCCTCCTCAATCGGTTACTAAGTTATCTTAGTAGTCGTGTATCTGCAGAATGTCTCAGCTAAGCTAGGAAAGCATTCACCAATGGCTATAGAGGATAAATCACCCAAGGTAGATTGACCCTTATTTTCTTATGTTTTCCACATTACGCTTCTTTAATATTTGGTTGTAACATGTCCAAACTTCGAAAAATACTTTAGGGCCTTCAATTCTTTGCTGACAATGAAGAACGGAGCACAACGGAGAAATCAATGACGAAAAAGAATGATCCCAACATCTTCCCTGGAGAAAAAGTTCCAGCAATAAAAACAAAAATACACCGGTCATATCCAGTTGGGATTTCTTTGACCCGGGACAAAATGGGCTCGGGTATATGATTTTTTTGTTTGTTTTTCTTTTTGGTTTTGTTTTCGTCATAAGTGATTTATTTTATGAAGGGCCGCCTTCGCAATTCATATTTCATATTGATTCTTGCTGTAACTTCTGACTTGTTCTCTGCTTAAGGAGAATTACAGGGAGTGCAATTTGTGGTTGTCATACATGTATAAAATAAAGTTGAATAGTCTTGTAATTGTGATGGCATTTGTTCAATTTACTGCATCAATGTGTTGTAGAAACATCCGAGTACTATATGCCACATTCGTCGGAGTTGAAACAGAAGCCGCAGTCCCCCGAATCTATGATCGGACTTGAGCTTATGGCCGAGAGCTCAAGGTCAGGCGCGGATCAGCTCATGGCCGAGAGCTCATAGCGCCGATCGGACTTGAAACTAACGTAAAAGGTTCAAGATTCAGTTTCAACTCTAAAGAAACTCCACTAGTGTATAAGTGTAATCTCCAAAGAATTTGAGATTGGAACATGAAACATGCGTAAAACTTGGGCATGGTGTTGCAAAAATTCGCAGCATTTAGTTCATTAATGGCAAAATTTCACAGCGCAGGTCTTTCTAAATTTCTTTGGAAAGAAGAGATCCTAAACCGTGCACACAAACAAAAATTTGAGAACGGAATGATTCATTGCAGAACTTGGAATATGGTAGCAAATACAAAAATTCGAAAGTGATCAAACCCATCATGTTATGTTTATATACCGTAGCATCATGAACTTTCAGTGTAATTTTTCTGAAGCAGTCAAAACTTTCAAGATAATGTCGTAGAGAAGAAAGGTGATCCAATGAGCTGTCAAAGGTGGGTAATTCAATGTCTGGAAGCGTGATGCTAGCCTCCCATAACTTTCCAGCCCAAGCGCTAGCCTTCAAAAAACCACTGAAAGATAAAGAAATATTTGGAATAATGATTGTGGCCTCCACATTATCTTGGCCTGCCCATATAACAAAGTTCCTCAGGTGCTTAGCCGCTCTGATTGTGACGTGCTTCGCTATGCACCTTTGATCAGAAGTACTTGAAACAAATTTAAACAATTCCAGATTCTTAGCAGCAACTTCAATCTCCTCACAAGTGCATAGTGTAATTTTCAAGGATTTGAGACTGGAACTTGAAACAGAATAGTCCCGCAAGTTACATGACGTTAATGACAAGTACTCGAGTCTCGATGGAAGGGCACTTGAAGTTATGTTTGAAGAAATCAGTGAAGTTATCCAATTCTACTTTCTTCATGGACAAACTTTTCAAGGATGGAAGGGTTATATCAACAGAATATCTCCACTGACGATTTATTTCCACATACTCCAAATTTAAACTAGTTAGAGATTTTGCAGCATTACCAATGGTTTCTAAAGGTAAGGAGAAGAACTTATCTGGTATGCGGCTGAAATATTTCGTGTTTGGTTTGCATTCTACCTTGTCCTCCCAGTTTTCCTTTGGAAGGCTGATATCCAACTCGTTGACACCTCTCTCGATTGCAAAGTTTAACCACTTACATACAATAGTTTGGTCTCCATCGAAGTACCTCATGTGAAGCTTGAATTTGAATAAGAGCTGCTTGTCATTCTCACGGAATTGATCTAAATACCAGTCCCAATCTTTGATGAAGTTTCTTTGACTTTGATCATCAAAGTTATGATGAACGTTGCCCTCATTAAAATCGAGTACAAAAACTGAAGACCTAAGGCCTTCCCATTGCTTGGAAAGAAAGCTCATCCGGGCCACGGGTATAGTGGAAAGGAGTTGCCGCATTAGTTCGGCATCCTCCATGTTTGGTTCATCATTATTTGCCTTCATGTCGTCTTGCTTTCTGATCTTCAAACCTTTTTGTGTACGCGTTCTTTGGGATGTCGGCTTACACTTTTGCTTTGCTGGATTTTGTGATTGTCAAGTGAAGAAAGGAGGTTTATAAATGAAATGGTAGGAAACCTACCTTGAAGTTCAAGCAATTGGAGACTAGGGTTTTTTTTGGGCCTAAATCAAAACCCTTAAGCCCACATATACTTATATGATTAAAGCAGTGTGAATATCCACTAAAAAGCAGTATGAATGAAGACTTTGAAAGATAATTAAAATTTACTTTTCACTTGATGACTTTGGTTCCCATTAGTGTATTAAAATAACCCATATGATGGGTTTGTTAGGTCTTGACTTTTGCCTATAAAGGATTGAAAAATAAAGGAAAGAAGGGAGAAGAGAAACATACGAAAGAAAAGAAAGAAAAGAGGAAAAGAAAGAGGAAAAGAAGAAGTAAGAAAGTACTATTGCTGCCTTAAGGATGTAGGCACACTTGCTAAATCTAGTAAATATTGTGTTTTATTTACTTTATTCCATGCACACATATCTTTATTTTCACAACAAGTTAGTATTTTACGTTGAGTGTGAACGAGAGAATTAAAAGTAAAAATTTTGTAAAAATCCTATAGACATCGCCCTCTCTCTCCCTATTCCTCTAAGCCCAAACCTCTCGCTTTCGGGTCAAATTAATTTTATATCGACCCGGCCCAACTTGACCTTTCGTGGTACAAATACGAGCTGCGTGCTAGGTTTCCCGATTCGATACCGGAAGCTCGGTTTTTTTCAGATTGTGTTCCTCCGTCGAATCCTTCTCCAAGTTTCGCCTATTCGCAAACCAGAGGTATTCTCCTCCCTATCTTTTTCGTCTTCTGAAGTTGTTATCGATTCTAGGGTTTCGTAGTTTTCCTGTAAATCGCTATAGCGGGCTGTGCGTTGAATTTTTTTGGGGGATCTCATCTAATTACATATGGGTTTTTTGAGTTTCAGAAAATTTGTTCTTCCTGAGGTTTCTGTATTATTGGAATTTTTTGTTAATTTTATTGGTTTGATTGTTTTTTCCCCTAATTGTCATGAATTTTATTTCTTGAAGTTAAATTTATGTTTGAATGATAAAATTTTGAATCTTTTTTTCTTCGAAATCGAAATTAACTGTTGTTTGAGTTAAGCCGAACAGACCCAGAATCTATTTTTTTTGTTGGAAAATAATTTCTAATTCATTGAAAAAAAAAATTTGTTAACCTATATTTTTAGGTTTTTTTTTTTTCCATTGGTAATTTGAGTTTATATGCTTTATTGTACGTTTTTGTCTGATGAAAATATGTTTTCGTGAGCTTTGTGGGTTGTGATCCAGTTTTGGTGTTTGTTGAATAATTTACGAAGTTATGGAAGTGGTTGATATTCACGTTTGAGGACCTGATTGTATTTTGGTTGCAGAAACAGAACTAGTAATCATGCCGAAGAATAAGGGTAAGGGAGGAAAGAACAGGAAGAGAGGTAAGAACGAAGCTGATGACGAAAAGCGTGAGCTTGTGTTTAAGGAAGATGGACAGGAGTATGCCCAAGTGCTCCGAATGCTTGGTAACGGTCGGTGTGAAGCCATGTGCATTGATGGGACCAAGCGACTTTGTCACATTCGTGGTAAGATGCACAAGAAGGTTTGGATTGCAGCTGGTGATATCATTCTTGTTGGCCTTCGTGACTATCAGGACGACAAAGCTGATGTGATCCTCAAGTACATGCCTGATGAGGCTAGGCTTCTGAAGGCATATGGAGAGCTTCCAGAGAATACACGTCTCAACGAGGGTATTGCTGGGGGTATTGATGATGAAGAAACTGAAGGTGGTGTTGATGACTATGTTGAGTTTGAGGATGAAGATATCGATAAGATATAGGCTTTCAGGTTAAAACTCTATTTGGATGTTATGTTTTTACCGTTACCGAGTGGCAGTTACTTGTCATTAGTATAAGTCAAACTTGGATTGGCAGTTGGCTCAGTATGGCTTTGTATTTCCAGATGAGGAATTGGTCATGTTCCATGTAACATCTGTTATTACTAATATATTTGATATGTTTGTCTTCTTTTTTGAATAACTAGTTTCGTCACAGAGGTTCTTCCCTTTTACTCTGTTTACCTTGTTCTGTGTTTCGTTTTTAACAGCGTCGTTGACAATGTTTTACCTAGTTAGTCTGTGTGTTTACTTTCGTTGGTTTCTTCGGAGAAGATGAGGTTCTTTGAGATGCATTTTTAAACTCACTCAGGTATCAAGCATCAGATTATATATAAGATATCAGAGTATTTACTTGACAGAGATTCTAAAGGGAAATCTGTGTTCATTAGAATGAAGTATTTCTGCACTTCCTTCTCCCAGTTTGCTTTTCGGTGCGCTCTTCATCTCTTTTGGGTTCCCTCGAACAATCCTTCTTGCTTACCTGTATAAATGTTGAAGCCAGTCATTGAATTGAACGCCGGAACTTAGTAATTTTGTTCTTCAAATATCGGTCCTCTTTTGACAAGCTCAGTTCGGATCATAGCTTAAATGAGACATATCCTTACCTTGGGATACTCTTTCCCACACTCGTAGCTTGGCATCGATTTTCGCGTTGATAGGCTTCTCGTAGCCTTGAATCTGTTCTTAGTTGGACTGAAGCCATCTTTCTCTTCTGCTGGTACCGGAAAGTTATCAAATAGGACACTGACTTCATTAGATCCGCAGCTCTCTTTTTCTTCACCTGCAATGTCGAACAATCTCTTTCCGATGACAAATCTTTGGCTGCTGTGAATTGTTTCAACGTGGCTGCTTGTATGACTTTCTGCGGAGGAGATTTCAGCAGGGCGGGTTGCCATCCACCGTTCTAGCCAGCTCCAACCCATGTTCTGTTCTGTGCCAGCAGATGTGGTGTGCCTTTTCTTTGAGCAGATCCTTAGCTTCAAACAAATAATACTAAGTTAATTAGTTTCCAAAACCATAGGAGTCTTTAGAACCTCTTTCAGGGCAAAATCTTGGATGTAGTCGGTTATTGATCACTCTCTCTCTCTTAGTCACGTGATTTCTCTTATCTTTCACATCGCGTGAGAGAGAGAGAGGTGTTAAATCACCGGTTGCACAATAGAATCCCAACTCTTTTAGGAATGAATTTCAGTACCTGTTGTGAAAAGGCGTACGCCAGTGCTCTCTCCCGCCTTGTAGTTGCTTCCAATCTGTTCTGCATTCTCATTCTTGATATGTTGCTACTAACTGTGCTGGCATCCCATTCTTCCTGTAAATTTTTACGATTGTCAATGATCATATGTGATTCAATCTCAACACGTGTGTAGATACATAAATAACTTGTAAAATCCCAGTTTGAATTCACTCTTAAATCTCAAAGTGGTTTTACCACATTTGTTTAGCATTACATAGTTAACACGTAAGAATGAAAAGTTTTGAGTTGTATCTGATCTACCTTCAACTTTAGCGCCTGCGCTCTAGCTTTCTCTTGTGTCCGGTGGTAAGCAGCTGAATTTTCTCCTTGAATCGAGTAAACTTGCACAGAATTTCCCGTTTGAACTTCTACAGATGTGCCTAGAGACTCCCTACTCGGACTTTCCACTCCAACAAGAAGCTCCTGCTTACCATCCTTGGATCTAATTCCTCCATTTCGGCACCTAATCTGAAATCCAAGCAGTCTAATGAATATGGGCCAGAATTCCCAGTGCAGTAACGCATATTTTCCTCAAAGTTATTAATGAATAACGAATTTGCACTTCCGAAACAATTTTAGGACGACTGAGTTTTCTCTGACTTAAATTGTAACATAAACCTGCAGATCGTGGGTGTAGGCAAATTGACTAGAGCCGATGTGGTCCTTTCAAAATAAAAGTGTAACATAAATCCTACCAAAGATCTTTGAATACTCGTAATTTCCGTTGAATTAAACTTATTTTTCTACAAGATGAGCAAATTGAAGTAATCTGATAGTGTTGAATTACCCGAAAGCCTCTAAATGCCGACTGGATGATGATTGCTGCACGCTCCTCAGACATTGTTTTGGAGACCGAAGATTCTGTCTTTGCCATTTCCACATCTACCTTAGTTGCTTCTCTTCTGATGTTTCCCTTGTCTTTCAAGTCTTCTGGCATCGGTTGCGTGACAGTCGCCTCGGAGCTCCTAACCGAACTAGAATCTTCGTCTGCAACAGCTAAAACTGAATTGAACTGCATGGCGGCTGTAGCCACAGAGCTCTTAACTGAAGCCGAATCATTCTCTGCCATGACTGAATTATATTCGTCTCCACATAGGTACGATCTAACCGAGCTCCATCTTCTCCTCTCAGTCACATTGCTCCTCACCTAAATGCCATCAAACAAAAACACGAATCACATTAATACATAACACAACTAACAGGAGAGCGTTGAAGCATTGTATGGTGGCAACTCACATTGCTCTCATGTGTCCTGAAAGATCGGTTTCTCGAGAAAACACTCCTGACCAAACCTCCACTGATGCCCATCTCAACTCAGAAGCTCTAAGAAGATGCTCAAAAGAGTGTTGCCAATTACATATATATGCTACAGGAAAAGTTTGATTAGTGCACTGAGATTCTCACTCAGTTGTACTACTAACCATAGTAAGAATAAGTGTAAATTTGTTCATAAAGCAAAGAAATAAACCGGGATTGGTATTACCACTCCGAAAAATCGTCCTGCAATACCCTCTCCCTCATTTTCTTTACCAACGAGAATTGCATGATTGACTTTTTTGGAGTGCTAATTATATAGCTACTAAAAACTAATGCATTTTCAATTAGGAGAAAAGTACTTGTTAGTTAGGATTAAATTAGAAGAACTGCAGAGAAGAGAAGGCTTTTAGAGCTGGATGGATCTGTACTTTAATCACAAAATAATAGAAGATGAAAAGTGAGAGATTGGTTGATGAAAGGGGCATGGTGTTTTTGCTTTTTCATCCACTTTTTGCACATGGGTTCAGCACTTCGGCCTCACTTAAAGCTTACTTGCTATTAGGGTTATGTCTTCCTTTCTGGTTACTTCTTATGCTCTTTTGTGGAGAAAAATATACGATGTCATGTAACAATATCTGCATTCACTTATCTCACTCATCGTGTGATTTTAAAATATACTTCTTATAACATGTGATATAAGAATCACATGACTTTAACATAGCACTCTATCTCACTCATTATATGACTTTTTCTGTCCTCCGATGGAGAGAAACTTGGTATACATGCATAGGCGAAATATATCTATATCACTTATCTCATTCATCATGTAACTTTGGATCATATCTCATTCACCACATGAATTATTTTGTCTATTGGTGGAAAGATCTTTGGGTGTGACAGGAGTACATACCAAACACTCTCACTCATTGCATGACTTTTGTACCCCGGGACCAAATAAAAATCATGCCGACAACTTTAGGAACCATTTGAGAGGCCAAAATCCATAAAAATGTAGTAGTTCTATACTTTGCGGGATAGATATAAGATGTGTAGAGTGAAATACAACACTAATCTGTAGCAATTTAGTTCCTTGTGTGTTGTGCTATAAGAGGAAAATGAGCATTGGCTTTAGACAGATCCTTTTTTTTTTTTTTTTCTTTTTTTGTGAGATTAAAGTTTGGGATTTTTAAGTAACTTAGACAGATGCTCTCCCCTTTCAATCTTTACCATCAAGTTTTTGCTGCTTAAAACAGAGACGAACTTTTACATTCTTGCGTCAGTTTCTCTGTCTTTGTCAAGAAACACTTGCATGTTATGAGTTCATACCAAAATCGGTAGATGAGAAGATAAATAGAGAGGGGACGATGAAGAGATAAAAATGGGAGATACTAACACCGGAATAAGAAAGTATTTTTTTGTAAAGACGGATATGTGATCTATAAGGTCAATAGAACAATTAAATCCAATGTCATCAGCTCAATATGGTGGTCCTGATCGGGCACTTTTCCCTTCATATGATGATTCTTTCAGTGCATATTTTTTGCCATTAGGATTGTTGGATTATAAATAGACTGTGGCACATGCTTTGCACTAAAGACAGTTCATCATGGGACTGACATGGTGCCCTAATAAGTTAACAAGAAAAAAAAATCTGGCAACACAAAAAATATGAAAAAAAAATATTTTATTTCATAGTTTAATTATGAAATGATGTGACAATTAATATCAGTGTACAGATTATTAAAATAAAAAATTAATGAAAAAAATTTGAAAATTTTGAGTTTTAATAATAAGGATAAAATAAAGGGTAAAATAAATGGTACCATAATTGACTTTTTAGTATAAAAAAAAATGATTTTTCGTTAAAATGAATAGTACCATAATCTTTTCGTTAAAGTTTCCTTCTTAAAAACTAAGTGGGTAACTAGCTTAAAGTGTGTTTTTATATGAGTTTACACGTCAAATGACACTCTACAGGAGTAAAAAAAAATAAAAAAAATTAGAGAACTGTTTTATCAACCTTTTTAAAGCTTGCCACATGATCAATTTTGTGCATGTTTGAGACTGTTTTTGAAACTGCTAAAAGTGTTTTTGGGCAATCTAACACGAGATAGAAAGCGTAATAGTGAATTTGAGTTGTAGAAATACTTCATGGAAAAGCACATGTGAAATAATTTTTTAGGAAACACCTCAAAATACTTTTTTATGAGTAATATAGTTTTGGATTTTTTGCCAAAATGGTCATTGAGATTTGCTTCTCATTGAGATTTGCTAACTCCTCACTTTGGTTCATGAATTTTGAAATCAATAGAAGCAGTCCCTAAGATGTCCACTATCAATCATTTTGGTCATTCAGTGAAAAATTATGTTAAATAAGAATCTAAATGACATAATTACCCTCAATATAATAAACAATAGATCAAAATGATTTGACAAAAAATTGAGGGTATTTTTGTGATTTTGTTCTTATTTTATTGAGATTTTTCAAGAAATGACCAAAATGATTGATGATAGACAAACTCAGGGACCAATTCTATCGATTTCAAATCTCATGGACCAAAATGAGGAGTTATGCAAATCTCAATAATCATTTTTGCTAAAAAGCCTACAGTTTTTAATAAAATTTCAACTTGTTTTCAATAACACCATTTTTAGAAAAAGTCAAAACTTAGCAGTAGTGTTTTTTATGAGCTCGTTTGAAAGTATTTTCTATAAGTTTCAAAAGCACTTTAAGTTCTTTCTGAAGAAAACCCTTCAAATGCTTTTCAATGATTCATTTGAATTTTTAATAAAGATTAGTTTAAAAAAAATTTCACAAAACTATTTTAAAATCATTTCTAAACAAGCCGTATTAATCACCGGCCGGTCGTGTTTATACCTAGAACACGATTTGAGGCCCGACCCGAATATTTGACTTATTAACCCGACTTGGATGTTTATGGGAAATCCTCTCTTTTCATTTTTCTTTTGGCCCGACTCAATCTTCTTCTTCCTTTCCGAGCGAACGAACGAAGCCTGCAACTACTGTTGCTCAAGTTGACGTTTTTCAGTTTTCACTCGTGCGGATTAGGGTTTTGCTTGGCTGCCCAGAAAATTTCAAGGGTAAGAAAAAAAAATCTGTTTACGTTTTTGCTTTGTACTAAACAAGTTGAATTTTTTTTATGGGAATGACTTACTGTCGTGATTGTTTCAGGGACACTGTTGTGTGACTGAGGTCGAGAGGAAGCATTCGAGAACAATGAGCATTGTGCCCAAAGAGAATGTTGAAGTAATTGCACAAAGCATTGGAATCAACAACTTGTCTCCAGATGTTGCTCTTGCTCTCGCCCCCGATATCGAATACCGCCTCCGTGAGATCATGCAGGTAAATCTTCAACTTTTCCGGCGTAACTGTCATATGGGTTTGTTTTGACATTGTTGTTTTCGATCGTTTGAGGTTGTACTAGTAAAATTGGTAAAGTTTGGGAATTGGGTTTACTTGTTTATGTGGTAATATTGAGACTGAATAGTTGGAAGTTGGGTTGCTTTTGTTTTGATTAGTTGGTCAAGAAGATAGTGTAGTTATGTTATTTTGGTGAATTTTGATTTGAGACATTGGAGGGTTGAGTGTGATTTTTCCTTGTAATGGAAGTGCAGGAGGCTATTAAATGCATGCATCACTCGAGGAGAACTAGATTGACAGCCGAAGATGTTGATGGCGCACTCAACTTAAGAAATGTTGAGGTGAGGCTTTAAAATGATTGAATTAGCATGGGTTTGTTTATTATTCGAAATCTCATTTTGCTTATCCTGCTTGCACCAGCCAATCTATGGTTATGTTTCCGGAGGTCCTTTGCGGTTCAAAAGAGCTATTGGGCATAGGGATTTGTTTTACATTGACGACAAGGATGTGGATTTTAAAGATGTATGTGTTACTGAGCAATCTGATTTCACTTTCTACTTGATTTTGTATATTTCCTTTTAATTTTCCATATTTATGTTTGACCGTAGGTGATTGAAGCTCCTTTACCAAAAGTACCGCTTGATACTGGAATTGTTTGTCACTGGCTTGCTATAGAAGGTGTACAACCTGCAATTCCAGAGAATGCTCCTCTAGAAGGTTTTTCTCAAAGTTTATAGATTGTGCCAATAATTATTACTCATAAATCATACTTCCAATTTAGGAGTTGTGATTGCTTCTGAACGCTAAGACTTTTGTATTCTAGGAGTTAGCTGTAGTAAAAGAAAGCCATAGATGGGTTTTGTAGCACTCTCTAAGCTTTAAAGTTGTGTGAAGCATGAAATGACTAATATCCTCCTTCTTAAAAAATACTCGGTATATCAATTTCTTTAAAAAATACTCAGTATCTCCAATATACCAGAGATTTTACATGATCTTGTGAGTGTGAGGTGGTCTGCGGTGTATTTCACATTCTTCTTTTTTGTTTGTCTGGAATTCAATCTACATAAATTGTATGGTGAAATGAATCTGCTATCCACTGATAAATCTTTTTTGATATAATTATGAGGAGCTAGAGTTAACTCCATTTTTGGCTTTTCTACTTTTGTTAGCCCAAGTTTGTCTCACTTATTGACTTTTTGTTCTTCTTCTGTAGTACTTGCACCTCCTTCTGATGGTAAAATTGATAACCAAAAGGATGATGGACTTCCTGTTGACATTAAATTACCTGTTAAGCACATATTATCTAGGGAGCTTCAGGTACATATTTCACTTGTCTGATCTTATACTGGAAGTACTTCAGTTTGCAGCTTGTTTACACGTTCCTTCTTTTTGTTGCCTTTGCAGCTATATTTTGACAAAATCACTGAGCTTGTTGTGAGTAGATCTGATTTGGTTTTGTTGAAAGAAGCATTAGTGAGTTTGGCCACTGATTCGGGGCTTCATCCATTAGTTCCTTATTTCACATGCTTTGTTGCTGATGAGGTGATGATTCTTGACACTATCACTGACAGCTATAAGAAGAGTATGATATGTAGCCATTGGTTACTTAAACCAACCTTTCTTAACATATATCAGGTTTCTCGTGGCTTGAATGATTATGCAGTTCTATTTGCTTTAATGCGAGTTGTTCGGAGTCTTCTCCAGAATCCTCACATACACATAGAACCTTATGTAAGTGCTTCTTTCTTCTTTCTTCTTTGTTTCCTTTTTTTCCATAGGAGAGCCTTATGTAAGTAGTTTAAGTTCTAATTGTCTATTAAGGTATTAATGTACATCTTGATAATGATGTCTAAGTTGAATTCTGTAATTTTCTGGTTTGATGATTGGGGAGGCTGATTGTAGTAGATCACCTATACTTTTTCTGGCCTTTTTCCTGCCCCTTTTCAGTTCCTTTCTAATAAATGAACAAATCTGCAGTCGTTGTTTTGCTATATGCATGTATTGCTAATCATAGTTTATCATCCTTGAACTCGTGCTATTTATGTCGAAGGGTTATGAAGCATGTAAGGTGGTGATCAGGGTAAAATGTGTTACTTATATGGAAGTTTTATTCTGAGACTTT